CTCTATCCAGAAACACCCGAAATGGTGCCCTGGGCACCTGCCTGGCAGCAGCGGGAGGGATTTCCGAAAGGGCCGCTCACCTTTGCTCGCTTTCGCTCTCACCGATGAGAGGGAGCTGAACTCTGCACCCCGCGGTGAGCGCCTGCTCCCGCCGTGCCCCCGGTCCCCAGCCGCGGCCCCATGGTGCCTGCTGGGTGCTGATGCTCCTGTCCCTTCCTTCTGCCAGGAAAAGCTGCTCTGCCCTTGGCCGGAGGGCCACGGCGCTGCTTCCCAGTCTCCTCGTGCGGGGATTTATGTGTGGATCAGAGCAGAATGGATCGCTACCGGTATTTCATCTTTAACCAGAGGAACATGGTGGTGCTGGGGCTGTTCCAGATCGCCTTCAGCACCGTGTGCGTCGTCAGTGGCTTCGTAGATGGCATCTTCCGAACGGAGTCTCAGCTGGGCAAAACCAGAGCTCCAATTTGGGCTGGGATGGTGAAGTTGCACTATATTTTCTATGCTTTGTTTTGTGGGTTTGTTTTTTATTTTTCTGTTTCCCACTGCTTCCTACCAGTGCTCAGACTGGGGGTGGGAGGGAGGCCGCGACTCCTTGCCAGCTCTTACCTTGCTTCCTGCTTTGAACCCAGATAAAAAAAAGTTTCCTTATCATGGTATAGGCAGGAGAGTGCAAGCAGACTTCCCTCTGAAGGGTGAAATGAAATATATTTCTGCTGGATAATGTAGCAAACGAGGTGTAGTAGCAGTTGACAGAGTCTTTTCCAGAAGCACAGTGGCCCCAGAGAGGCCAGGGAGGGCACAGATGGGGACATTTCTTCAGGGCATTGAGAGCTGCTCTGTCCCCACAGCAGGTGGATGAGCAGCCAGGTGATGATCGGTGTCCCGCAGCTAATTCTTTGTACTGCAGTGAGGAGCGGTGCCACCTCCAGCTGGCAGCGGGCACCTTTGCTCCCTGCGGTCCGTCACCCCGGTGGTTCACACCCCGGTGATCCGTGCTGCTCAGGGCTTCTGCTGAAGCGCTCTCTTTCGTCCAGAGGCTGCCCATCTCCCGTCAGTAGCAGCTTCCTTGATGGATAAGGACTCGGAAGAGAAGTGCACATTTTTAACACGTTAATCACACGTGTAATCAGTGTTACTGCTTGGCCAGAGCCACAAAGCCAGTCAGAGGATTGCTGCCGTGGGGGTGGCGAGTGGGCAAGATGCATTTCACGCGGTGTCCTGCCACCAGGAGATGCTGCAGAGGAAAACAGAATAAATCAGCATTTATCTTTCCATTTCTGACCTGACAGTTATTCCCATCCAAGCCTTGAAAACAAGGGCCTTTCCCCTGCTCTGTAGCAGTCTATCTTCTAAATATGATACTTGTCTCCCGGTTACCAGCTCCTTTTGTGCTCTGCAGGTGATGGGAGTCCCAGGCATCCTGGCGCTGTTCTCCTCGCAGAGGAAGAATCCAGTTCTCGTAAGCTGGGGAGAAGGGGTTGTGTGTGCAAAATGTTGTTGGGGCAATTTAAAATGGTTTTGGTAGGGAACGAGCTATCTGGTTCTTCCGCAGGACTGAGAGCTTATTTACTTGAGTTATCTTCATAAAAGCTGCTGCGTTCCTAAGCAAAAGGAGGCTGCGGCGTTCCCTCGCTTTCTGTTTTAGCACACGAGCACTGGCTCTAGTAACAAGCAAAAAGCTGTAAAAACTCTGGCTTTTGAATGCTTTTCTTTTGGTGTCCCCTTCTCTTATTAAAAATTGTGTACACTGCAGTAGGAAACGAGTTATTTGACTTGCATGTCTCAGGCCGGTCTCTCCAGACGTGCAGACTCCAAGGGGGGATAGTGTTTATAAGTGAGCAATCGCTAAGCATGAAGTCTTTCAGTCCAGCTAGTGCCCGTTGTTAAGATTTGGGACTCAGCTGTACCCCAGACACTGAGTATCACGGAAACCTTCACTGCACTGTGTTTGGCTTCCAAGGGACTGTTGCTACCGGGTACTTTTTAGTGTTACAGGAGGTCAAAGGCTGGTACCTGCAATGCCTGTTAGTACATTTTCTCTACTTTAGTTGCATTGATTTGTCGGTGGGAGTTGTAATTCCTGCTCCCCTCCTTTGTCTCCTCTAATTTCTCTGCACAGGTGAACGTGCTGATAGTCGCTTCCGTAACCTCGTGTGTTGCCATCCTCATCGTCATAGTGTATAGCTCCCTCACGCTGAACTACGGCGAAGAGGAGGAGCTGAGTCCTGCCCCCGTCCACGTTATCCATACAGTGAGTACTGAGAGTGTGCTTCTTACTGGGAAGCATGACAGCCACGATGTGCAAACATTACTGGGCATGACTTGGAAATGGAACCAGGCTTACGGTGTGCCTGAGTTAGAGCTGGAAGCAGTGCCTGCAGCAGGGCACTTCTTTAAAGAAAACCTCTGCGAGTCTGCAGTGAGGTGCTGAACCCCGCAAGCCCTGCGCAGGGCTGGACAGAATCCTTTCCAGCGTGCACCCCAGGGGATCAAGTCACAGCAGTTGCAGGTCAGCTGAGTGAAACTGGGTATTATTTCGAGTGTGTCCCCCACAGTAAAGCTGAAAGGAAGGCGTGAGTTAGCCCTTTCGTACCTCAGAGCCGGTACAAGCGGTGGCTCCCCGTGCGGGTGAATCCATCTGAGGCGCATGAAGCTGGTCGTTATCTGTGGCAGGACAGAGCGAATGGCAGGCTGCTCAGGGCAGTACGGCAGGAAGACTTTTCTCATGTTCAGCGTGAAGAGGAGCAGCATTCCTTGGTGTTCTACTTATTGTTAAAGCTATTTCCAAGCCTGACGCCACTGCATAGCATCTTACATCTAATCAGAAGCCTTGTTTTACTGCGTGCTCTTTTCCTATCTGAGCTTCGCGCTTGGCATGCTCTTCGGAGCGCAGGAGGAAAAGCCTTAAGTAGCACTGGCTCTGGATAACTCTCCTACGATGCAGTTGCAGATCTCTTGCAGCATTTAGGATATTTTTTTGGTGGAGAACTTCACTTTTTGAACAAGGCTTTAACATTTCCTTTTCTGCTCGCAGAAGTTTGTGCTCAATAAAGTCGTCAAGGGCGCTAACATAGCCACGCTGGCCGCCTCCGCCTGCAGTGCTGTGGTGGTGCTGGCCATGGCTTACCTGGGCTGCCGGAGCCTTCCGCGCTGCTCCTGCTACGACAGCGTCACTGGGATGGTGAGTGAGGAGCCCAGGGCGCCCACTGAGTGTGGGCAGCGGGGGAAGAAACTGGGGAGAAGGTGTGTTTTTTCTTCTATAAACCCAACCTCAGCTCTACCCCTGTCACCCAGGACCAATTCTAAGAAATCAAGTGGATGTTAGGAGGGTTTTATTTTTTTTTTTTGTATTTTTGCTTTTGCTACCTCCCTCTTATTTGCAGTCTTGTGTGTGACCTAGCGTAAGTTATCTCCATTTTCCAAACCATTGGTGCTGAAGCTGCCATGGTCCCACTCCCTGTGAATCCGGGCTCTCCTTCTCAAGAACCGCTCCTTCTGGTCTCACCCTTACACCAGCGAGTGCTCCTGGTGCAGCATCGCAAAGACTTACTGGTACTTACACACCCAGATGCTTTATCCACAGAACTACAAATTCAGTAATAGCAATACCCCCTGTGCCACGTGGGAGGCGTAGGGGAGATGACACACCACCACATTTTACTGCCAGTTTGTGAGGACTCTCCCTCAGGTTATGGGGCACAGGCTGTGTCTCTGCTGAGCCAGCGCAGGCAGTACCAGCTGCTTCTCTGCCAGGGTAATCCTGATGCTGTATCAAAGCACATACCCCTGACCGGCTCATTTGATGAGGAATTAACGGGTACAGGTTACAGGGCAGCTGCTCTTGACTAAAGATACCAAGTGTGCAATGCTTTAAAGCTAAAACTTGTGAGGAGGAGTGGGCTGCGCAGACTTTTTAAAGCAGTTCAGGTATGTCTTCTTGCACAAACTCACAGATCAGAGTGTTTTGACAGCATTGTTTCATTCATAGGAATGGCTGCAACCCAGTGAGGACCAAAATCAGGCTGTGGAAATGGTCTGCGCTGTACAAAGTGAGTAACCCTTCCCATCCGGGTATTTGGGTATTCACCAGGGAGGTGGAAGGAACGTCCTGAGTGAGCTTTACATCCCAGGCCAAAATCCTGATAACCAAATACTTGGAGACAAAAGGAACTCAGGATTTTGCGCAAGCATCTCTACCAGGTTTAATGATTTCTTCTTTCCTTCCCCACACAGGTCCTGGGGACAGAATTTTTAACTTCCCAGATCGGTTTCCAGCCCAGGATGCAGACACAGAGGAAGATGCGTCCAAACCTCCACCATATATCAGAATGGCCTGAAAAAGTAGTTGAACATTTTAAAGCTACTAGTCTAAAAACATGGCAAAACAGATGCAAGAAGTTCTTCATCTTTAAGGATGGTTATGCACTTTTCCTTGGCCTTCAAAAAACACACACACAGAAAGAGAGAACTCTTGAATGCCTGACATTCGGCAAAGATGACAGTGCAAGGGGGAAGGTCTGCAGATGTTTTTGGACATTTGGACTTTGTATAGTTAAAATACCTCATTGCCTCTGGGAAGCGTGAGCATTTTTTCCTCCAGCTTTTTGTACTTAAATCATGTTTTATTCCGCTAGAATTCATCATGCAGTTTGTCTAGCAGTGTTAGCCTTAGACATTCAAATATTAAATACAATTAATTTTTAAAAGAAACTGGTTGTGGAGTATTTCCCCCTGCCAACTGCTATCTCGATTTCTCCCCCTCACCCACTGAATTGTGTGGATGACAGGATAATGTGTGAAGGATAACAAAGGAGCCACTTCAGAGTGCTTTCCCTCCTCCTCTCGGCAGGGATGAGGGCAGGTGAAGTTTATGATACGAAGCCTTGCCAGTGCCATTCAGGCACCTCTGTCAAAATGTGCATTCTGTGGGGTGTGCATGTGTAGGTACAATTAGTTTCAGTCCTAAAAGGTAATGCTGGAGTCTGGTATAGATGTATAGATGAGGATCTGTCCAGAAGTGCGCTCTCTCTCTCTGGGCCGCCCCTTTCTAGGGACCGTCTTGCTCTCTCAGTCAGCTCTCGCTCTCTCAGACACTCTTTATCTCCATTCTGGGACTGCGGTTTGGGGCCTCTCCCTGCTCTGGGATCGTTAGCCAGGAACAGGCTGAGTCTTGGTCATCAGGTGGTGAGCAGTATTGCTGTGCCTCATTCATTTGTATATTTGTATATATTGCTATTGTTATTATCAATGTTATTGTAGTTTAGTCATTAAATTGTTTTTATCTCAGCCCATGAGCCTCTTTTCCCCTTACCCCTTTAATTCTCTCCCCCGTCCCTGGGAGGGGGGAGCGAGCGGCTGCGTAGTGGTTTGTGCCAGCCAGGGTCAAACCGTGACACTCTGGGGCTGCCTGTGACTGCGTGTGCTTTACTGCCCACATCGCCACCCAGCACAGGTGTAATGCCATTGTTGCAGCTGTGAAGCGGGCCGACACTAGCAGCAGCGGCCCAGAGACCAAGTAGTTGCCACAAAAGTCTGCTGGCACCGCCATGCAGCGTGCTTTCCTCTCTTAGCTACGTTAGATCTGCTCCAGGGAAGAAACCACAACAGGAAACAGCAACTCATCTTTTCTTTGCTCTAGCAGGCTTAAACAAAATTAAACTTTGTAAGTAGATAGTTGTTTACCTGTAATGCAAGTTACAAGAAAAAACAGGGTTCTACAGATGAAAAGGGTTTGGTCTGAAGGTTTCAGTCTCTATGTTCCTGAGGTTTTCCTACTTGCATTGGTATGAGCTGGAGCAGAAATATTTGATTAAAAAATGGTAGCACCAACCACTAACTACAGAATCCACTTTCCACTTAAACCTGACCGTATTTGACAGGCTTTTCACATTATTGGCCTTTAATATAGTAATTTATACCATTGTAATTCAAGAAGTGATGCTGTGCTTTTTTCTCTGGCATAGTGCCTGTCAGCAAGCATCAAAGCGCTGAGCGTGACTGCTTTCCTCATCCTCAGAGGTTTCTGGCATAACTCCAAACAGTCAGAAAAAATGTTGGGGTATTTTTTTCTCCTTGATTAACATAAACTGCTGTTCTTACACATTAAACGAAGGTAAGGCTCCCTGAGAGGTTGTTGTGATTGCTCATACCAAAAGCAGCGTGGCTTTGATTCTCCTTTAGTCTAGAACAGATTTTCTGTTTAAAGGAGAAAGTTGCTAGAAGTAAAAGTTTGTTGCTACAACGCACTGCTCAGCCCCTGCATCATTCCCGGGTGGAAACTCTGGTCCCACCCAGAAATATTGTTCTGTAACTTGTCATTCTATTATAGGACAGTGATTTTTTTTCTGATTTTTTTTTCCGATTTTTTTTCCTTCCAGTGGTGCAATCGCAGCATCGCTGTCACAATACCAGCATCTAAGGTCACGTACAGGCACACAGTTTCAACAGTTCTTTCTGCAAAAGGAGAGCTTCTACAACAGAAACAGCTGCAGTGTGGAAACTGGTGGAATCTGTACACCAATTTAATGTCACTCTCTCTAATGGGTTAGCATTGCAGAAAATATATTCCTGATGGCAGCTTCCAGTGCTATATTTAGTAGCCTGTTCCACGTGCTGGT